TAGGCAGTGCTGGGCAGCCAGCGTGGTGTGCACAAAGCCGAAGGGTGAGCGCTGGGATCCTCCGTGGTGTCTGAATTCCATGGGGGAAAAGGTCCCAAGGCGAGAAGGAAGGGGAAAGGTGGCACACATTCATCCCAGCAAGCTCTTGAGGGCCTTTCCTGGGGGATGCACCTCATTTTTCCATCACCCTTGGGAGCATTGGAGATGCTTTCCTGACCCCAAAACATACTCATCCCTTCCATTTCTTCTTGAAGCCCAAATTTCCTTATCCCCCTCCAAACCCTCTGGGCTCCCTTCAGGAGCAGCCCATTTCTCAGATAGGTTGTGGTAGAGCTGGGACAACTTCGAAGGATGGAGGAGGGTCAGAAATAGGCCTATACGAGATGTATCACCCCAAATCCAAATCGGGACAACGCACCAGAGAGCTGATGCAGGTTTTAAGAGCAGCAGGAACATGAAAGGTCGCTCCAACCACCCCATCCCACCATCCACCCGGGGAAATGGGTCTTAATGTGAAGCCTAATTAAGGAAAGCCCATCTCCACCACCAGCTGAGCTGCTAGGGGGAGTCAAGCCATGTTCAGTGTTAGGTTTTCTTGCATGCTGTTACTGGTCTTGGCTGAAAATGGGATCCCGAGGCCGCTCTCCCCCCAACCCCAGGCACTTCACCATCCTGCTCGGTGCTGATAGCGCTGCTGGCCCTGGTAATGCTGCTGAGCGGGGTCCTGCTGTGGCTCAACCTGAAGAGGAGGTGCATGGCAACAGCCCAGGCTGGAGGTGACAGTCCCATCCCTGTGTGTCCCCCCAACTCATGGTCCCCACTCTGGCCACCCCAAAACCCAGGGGGATACAGAGACGGGGGTCAGCTCAGCAGCCGCCAGAGCCCAATGACAGTCCCCTCCATCTCTCAGCCCACCAGCACCCTGGGGACCAGAGCACTTCAGTGACATCATTCCAGCCCATGGGGGCCATCTACCTCCCCACCAAGGCAGAAGCCCCCGAGGATGCCGATACTGAGACAACGCAGCTCATGAAGGAAGATGCTGCCCTGTGATGCCAGCCCCCCCGCAAGCTCGTCCCCTGAGGGTCACACCAGGCTCCCGCTGCCCCCCATC